GTGTAGCACAGGGAAACCACAAGCAGCAGCAGCAGCGTGTGTCCAGGGTGAAAGGCAAGGGAGCAAGAGCAAGAGGAAAAGCAAGAGCAAGACAAAGAGGCGTGACTTTCTCACCCCTTTTATAGACCTTGGCAGGAAGTCCCGAAGACAGGAAAAAGGGGAGTGGGAATAGAACAGGTGTACGCCCCTTTCATTCAGTCTTGTACCTGCTTTAGCGTTTCAGATCTCCACCCACCAGGGGCAGCAGGTTTCAAACCATTACAAGAAGTTGTCTTTTTTTTCCCAGTCCTTTATTCTATTTGCCTTTATCACTTTTTCTCGAAAGCTTTACAGCTCTTTCCCATCTATAATGAAATATTTGCCTGGCTCACACCAAACCATCTTTAAAAACGGAAGGTGGCTGAGAAGTTTTGTGAAAGAGAAGATTGACAAACACAAGGAGGACTGGAACCCCTCGGAGAGCCGGGACTTCATTGACAGCTACCTGCAGGAGATAGCCAAGGTCAGCAACAAGCACCAAAACCTTGGGGCTTAGACATCTGGAGGGAGGAGAAACGAGCCCAACTACACCCTCTGAGCTGTGTGTGCGGGCATCCATGAACACAGGGTGGGCATCAGGTTCAGGGCACCCATCAGAGGGATGGAGGTGCAGGGGGCCAGCACCTTCTGCCCAAATCCTTGGAGCTGATTTCTCAGGTCATCCCTTACATTTTGTAAGGCACCGCGCAGTGTTTGAGCAGCACTAACACTTGGCACCTTTTTGTGAAGGACACCAGCAACAGCATCTTCAAGGAGGAAAACCTCGTGGCCTGTGTGCTCGACCTGCTGGTCGCTGGGACTGAGACCACTGCCACCACCCTCCGCTGGGCTCTGCTGTACATGGCCCTGCATCCAGAAATTCAAGGTACAATCAGCAGAAGTTCAGTTGTTCTCTTTGCTTTTAGTCCTTACAGCTTTGAGAAATAACCCTCAGCAGTCACACAGGGGAAGTTGCAAAGAAGCTGGTGACCCAGGTTGGTGCTGGGGGGTCCCTCCCAGCAACCACCTTGTGTTGCTCCAAGAGGATGTTTTTTTGGGGGCTTGGCTGATCCCTGCTCTCCCCTCCAGCCCGCGTGCAAGCCGAGATCGACGCCGTCATCGGGCAGGTGCGGCAGCCAGCCCTGGAGGACAGGAGCAACATGCCCTACACCAACGCCGTCATCCACGAGGTGCAGAGGAAAGGCAACATCATCCCTTTCAATGTGCCAAGAATGACCTCAAACAACGCGGTCGTGGATGGCTTCCACATACCAAAGGTAATCCCAGTCATGAGTGTGGAGAGGTCTGCCAGAGCTTCCCAG